AAAAGGAGGTTAAAAGAGCTATGACAAATATATTCTATATATTCAAAATGGTAGAATAAACATAAACCTAATAAGGGAAGACATGGAAGGTACAGATAGACTAAACGGAATTTTTAGAGATGAAAAAGGATGTAACAGCACATTAGGTGCTGTAAAAGATCAATGAACCTGAAGACATAGAAATTACACAAAACACAATGAGAAAAAGATTTTTAAAAAAATAGAGCATCAGTAACTTTTATGAAAATATCAAGTGATAAAATGAACATGTAATTGGAGACTTATAGGGAAGGGAAACTAAAAAATGCATTTGAAGAAGTAACAGTCAAAGGTTTTTAATATTTTATTAAAACTGTAAACCCACAGATCCAAGAAACTCAATGAAGTCAAAGAGAATAGACCTTTAAAAAAATTCTCAGACATATCATAATCACATTGCTGAGAATCAGTGGTAAAGAGAAGACCTTACGGGGAGTGGAAAGGAAGGCACATTTATAATAAAGGAAGAGATAGAAAAACAATAGAGTTTTTGTTGGAGACTATGTAAGGCAGAAGACTATGGAATGTCACCTTTTTTTTTTTTTAATTTTATTTTTTATAAACATATATTTTTTCTTCCCCCAGGGGTACAGGTCTGTGAATCTCCAGGTTTACACACTTCACAGCACTCACCATAGCACATACCCTACCCAATGTCCATAACCCCACCCCCCCTCTCCCAACCCCCCTCCCCCCAGCAACCCTCAGTTTGTTTTGTGAGATTAAGAGTCACTTATGGTTTGTCTCCCTCCCATTCCCAACTTGTTTCATTTACTCTTCTGGAATGTCACCTTTAATAGAAGGAAAAGCATCACCAAACTAGAATTCTTTAATCAGTTACAACATTTGTCAAAACAGAAATTAAAATAGCCTTTCAGCAAACAAAAGTGAGAGAATTCATTGCAAGAAGACTCCCACCATAAGAAATGTTAAAGGAAAGTGATATTTAAAAAAAAAAAAATGGTGGAATAAACAGCTCCAAGTTCTTGTTCCTCTGAAAAATACTGAAAAATCATCCAGAAGCTGTCTGAACCAGCTTCATAGGTGCTCTGGAAGACAAAGTTTTTGGCAACCAAGCAAATACCCAATGAGGAAAAAGCCAACTTCAAAATGTAGGAAATTTCATGGCATTTTTACTCTTGCTCTACTCCCTCATCAGATGGCAGTGCTCTTGGTCTTGAGCAGTGGCAGCCCAGTTCCCAGTTACCTTCATTGAACTAGATAGAGTGTAGGAAGACCTTATGTGCAAATCATTGTGTATGTATGTTTTAACCTTGCTGGGTGGATATGTGAAAGACTGATCAGTTGATTTCTATCATAGGTAGGCAGGTAATTAGGTTCCTGTCAGCTGAGTTTGCCTCTATTTTAAGATACTCCCTCAGAAAATTCTTCCAACAACTTCCAGTTATATGTAGTTGGCCAGAAACTTGTCACGTAGTTACTCTTATAGTTAACAAGGGTAACTCTTCAACGGAGGCTGGAAAATGTACCTCTTTTTTTTTTTTTATTTTTAAAGCAGGGAACATTTCTACCTAAGTGCTAAAAAAATTATGTTCTTGAAATAATATATATTATGGGAAGGCAACTGTTAGTCTCTGTCACAGAAAATAAGAGACTAGTTAGGAGACTGTTTGGAAAGAGATGATAGTGGCTTGTGCTACAGTGGTAGTGGGGTAGTGGTAGTGGGGTTGTGGGTGAGATGTAATTGATATATTTTAAAGGCAGCAACCAGAAATCTTAAAGCTGGATTAGATATGGTAACGAGAAGGAGAGAAATAAAGAGTGATACTTGGGTTACTAGCTAGTAGATGGTAGCACCAATAATTGAGATGAGAATAAAGAGAGAAAGGGCAAGGTTTTGTGGGGCTTTGGAAGGAGGGAGGGGAGAAGCATTAAAATCCAGAATTTTCTTTTGTGATATGTTAAATTTGCGATGCCTATTATATAGTTAAGTGGAAATTAATACCTTTTAGAATTTCTCAAGATTCTATTTAGAATCTTTTCCAAGGGTCACCCTCTCCTCATATTCCTCAGAAATATCTCTATTACTCTGCAGTTTTCTGTTTGCTTTTACTCATTCTTCATTTGCATGTATTGATTTTCCTCATATATCTGGTAAACTTTGTTGGCTCATTTTATATTTGCGAGTGAAGAAATATGTCGATTGTATAGGTATGCTCTGTGAGACAGGCAGGCTTCCCAGGAGTATATATGGTGATGGAAGAGAGTAGGCAGGATGGCTGGGGACCCAACAACATTTCCAAAGAACCCATGTGTTTCTCTCCTGATGGAATTTTCTTTTTAAACCCCTGCTGTTATCTGACGTGGAAATGTCAGTGACAGCAAGCTCTATTCTGCTTCCCTATCAAGGCATGAAATTCACAGGATCTCCACCTGGACAGATGGCACATTTTCTTTGGAAAGCAATTTTTTGCTTTCCAAATGTATGTACTATATAGTACATCTTTAGTTTTTGATGTAGTGTTCAATGATTCATTAGTTATGTATAACACTGAGCACATTACATTAGTTATGTATAACACTCAGGACACATGACACGTGTCCTCCTTAATACCCACCACCCTGTTACTCCCTTCCCTCTGAAACCCTCAGTTTGTTTCCCAGTGTGCATAGTCTCTCATGGTTCATTTCCCTCTCTGATTTCAGCCCCCTTCAGATTTTCATCCTTTGCCTATGGTCCTCTGTGCTATTGCTTATGTTCCACATATGAGTGAAACCATAAAATTGTATTTATGGTTTATGAAGCCATAAAATTGGCTTACTTCATTTACATAATCCCCTTGGGGTTTTGTTTTGTTTTGTTTTGTTTTTAAATCTTTTGTGTGTCTGATTGGGAAAGACAACGCTGCCAGCAGCATGTGCTCTGTGGGCTGAGAAAGAGAAGATCCAGCTGTTCTGAAAGTAGCTCTCTAATTAATAACTATGACAACTGCACCATCATCTGATTCTCTTTGTATATGCTGTCCTTGAATTTTTTTGCTTCTCAGACCCACCTGATTTCTGTAGTTCAAGGTTCTAATTTTCTTGATGCGAGTTTCCATTCAATCAGTCTCATCTGCTTTCACATTTTCTGAATTTTCTCAACTTTCTAAATCCTGGTGTCTCACCTTATTGATTACCAGTATTGCCATGGGACTTTTCTTTTTGAAATATTGTTTTCTCTTAATTTACTAGAACCTTGGCAAGTGGGAAAGAAGAGAGCCCCATGTTTAGTCCATCATCCTGAAGCTCCTATATTGGTTTGTTTTATTGTTCTTTTCTAGCTTCATGAGAAGAATGCCTAAAGCATTTCTCCTCAGTATAAATGTACTAGAGTTTTTTATTCATAAAGTGTTGCATGTTCGTTTAAATAATAATACAGAGTTAAACAATAAAAGTTAATAGTGTCCTGTTTCCTCTCCTCCAGAGATGTTAGTATTTTATGTTCTTTCACACATTCTTTCAAGCTTATCTTAGGGAAGAATTTTTTTTTCTTTTGTGTTTTTTACAAAAAAGAGTTCATGTGGTTTTTTTTGTTGTTTTGGTTTTTTACTGTTCTTCTACTTCCCATATATATTTCATTTATTTTTAATTTTTATACTCTATTTATTTAAAGTAATGACATTTCAAATGTTAGAGTTCAAATTGTTTTTTAGGGGAAATTCAAGCAAAGAAAAAACAAGCAAAAGAACTGATGTGGAAAAGTCTGAGATGTATTTCAAGAACTCAAAGTTAGACACAGTTTGTCTGAAGGAGAGAAACTCTAATGGGGAAGACTGAGAAACTCATAGAAATAATTTAGTCAATGTGTTAGGGCAATGAATAGCAGCAAAAATGGGAAACTGCTGAAAATTTAAGAAAAGTCATGTTATTAACTGCTTAATATTAATGTACACTTAAAACCAAAAGTATTACTTATGGAAAGATCATTCATTGAACTGTTATTTTAATTAATTTGATATATAATGAACCTTCTGCTGTCTACAGGAGAGAGTATATTTGAAAGTAGTTTGTAGTACTATGTACGCTCAAAGAGATGGTGTCAAATTTGGTCTAGATGAGTGGGCAGTGTGCATGCACATTATGATGCTTCCAAAGCATCATTCTCAGTCACTGCAGTCTTGATTGTGTAGCAAAAGGAATATCAGATGAAAATTTGGGATACTTAGGATTTAGACTACTAATCATCTGGTTAACTTGGGACAACAAACTTGAACTTCAGATTCTTGTATGAAACAAGGAGTAGGATTGGATTATCTCTACAGCACCTTTTGTCTCCAAAAATGCAGTGGTTCTCTGATTCTATAATTGTTCCTATACACCTTAATCTAGCACCAAGTGTTTCCTTAGGCAGTGTTAAGTACACATTTAGCAATTACAGGTTAAGGAATTATTGAAAATGCTTTCTAGCCCAATACAATATCAAATGCCATTTTTTTTTCCCTCGGGGTGGGAGAGGGGCAGAGGGACAGGAAGAGAGAGTCCTAAGCAGGCTTCACACTCAGCACATGAACCCAATGCAGGACTTGATCTCACAACCCTGAGATCATGACCTGAGCCAAAATTCAAGAGTCAGACGCTTAACCAACTGAGCCACCCAGGGGTCCCTCAAATGTCATTTATTATCTAAAGCATTTTACAACCTTTTAAACTGAGGTTATATTAATTCTGACAATTCCGATTCTTCTTTACTTTTGTTTCTGCTTGAAGTTGCTGTGCACTGTTTTGATTTTATAAATTCAATAGTGTGAAAATTATAGTATCAAGGAAGCTAAGGTTATATGTGTAAATATATATGTATAGATGTCTTATAATTGGCCAAATAAATTATAATAGCTATGAGAAAAATATTTCGGTTTTACGCTTTTTATGTCTTTAATAACTATTGAAAGAATACAGTTACCTTGGGAAATATCCTTGTATTACAAGCAGTCTAAAATTGAAACTTCTTTTTTTATAAGGTGATTTTTTCACCAAAGGAAAACATTATACCATATTTCAGACCAGAATATATAGAATCCAAACCAAAATATCAGGTGAGTCCTGAATTATCCTATCCCAATAACAATTACATTTAAATACTAGGCTTCTCTAATACTTTATATAATTCAGTGGTTCCTAAACCAGACTACCCATTAGAAACATATGGCTGTCTTTGAAAAAATACATGTTTTCAGATTCTACCTCTGACCTGATGAATCTTGATCTGGAAATGGAGCCTGGGAATCTGTATTTCTCAGAAGAACCAGGAGATTCTTATATTGTCATCTGGATATCAACTAACACTTGAAAAACAGATGTAATAAAATGTATCTACTACAATGAAGTTTGATCAACTAAGTTGAAATAAACTGAAATACTAGGCTGATATTTCACATTTTCCCCTTTTCAGCTGATTAATGTAGAGGTTGTGTGAACAAATATAAGAATATGTTTGAAACATTTGAATAACAGACTTCACCTCAAAGGCTATTTCAGTTATAGACTATCTTGATCCCAGAGCTACAAAACTGCCCATGGATATTACACTGAAATTTCACTATAATCCAGAACTTTTTTGTACTGCTCTCTCATAACCATTATAAGGCATGTATGGTATTCATCAAAAAGTAAGATGCTACTGTGACATGCTAAGTAGTGGGTGGAACTTATTGTCATTGTTGAAATTCCCAGACTTAAAAGCAGATGATACATGCTCCCAAGTTAGTCTTTAGAAACTATTTGTGATACTTCTAATGGGATATCTACTACTTGCATTGCATTTTAATTTTTTCATGTATTGTCACTAAAATGGTAAATATTTATAAGATAGGACTTAGATCCTGATGTTAGCCATTGTCTAAGTAAGTGTAGCTAACACTGGAAATCAAGTTCTTTAAGAAAAACACACACACAACTATGTAGGAATGCTGTTTAAGTATTTTAAATATTCTAGGTTACGAAAAGTTCTTGGACACAAAATAGTATCAGAATTAAGAATTCTAAAATTTTGCATTAACATTTTCATCATTCCAATTTCAAGTATTTTAAAATAATTAAAGTCAGTTTTCTCTTTGTAGAAGGTGGGTGAATGAATAGATAATTTGACAGATTGCTCAAAGAAAATTAACTAGAAAATTTATTATAAATTCAACTAAATACTACAGAATTTCTTACCTTTTGTTTTTAATATTACAGTTCCAGAAATTCAACCTTAAGAATGGTTTTGATCCTTTTCTAAGGAATATAAACAACAAAACATCAGTCAGTAAAAGGAAAAATCAAGATATGTCCAAATATAGAAACACTTCAAGTCCAGAGATTATAGAGCATGAAGACCAAGATCCTCCTTACCCAACATACTCAAAAACTGCAACACTTACTAATAAAACCTGGCCCTGTGATCCTGGTATCACCACAGTAAAGACTTTAGACACCAAGACTAAATTAAAGTCAGCCTGTGATCCTGATTTCATCACAGTAAAGACTTTAGACACTAAGAATAATTTAGCCCGTGATCCTAATATGACCACAATAAAGACTTTAGATACTAAGAATAAGTTAAAAGAAAGACTACCAAATGTATCTCCACCTAATTTTGAAGGAGAATCATCAGTGACTGGAAATGTCAATACATATCGCCTCTCAAAATCATTAAGTCTTACTCCCCATCTAGAAAATTTAAAACAATCAATGGTGCTCAAGTCAATTTTAAGTAAAAATCTGCAAGACCTAGCAGATAAATTATTTTCTAAACCAGAGATTCCTATGGACACTGAAGCAAGAAAGAAAAGTCCTAGTTCTCCACTTCTGAGTATTCATGATGGATCACAAAGTAGTTTGGAAAGTAAAGTATTTGAAAAAGTCCAAGACTCAAATATCTGTCTTCCAGAAAAAGACATGGTACATTCAAAGTCTCTTTTAAGACAAGTAACTAAAGATATTCTTGTAGATTTACTTGAAAGTGGACCATCACTTGAAGATGGACCAAGAAATTCTCCAGAGGTAGAAAGAGCACTTGTTTCACCTCCAGGTGATAAACACCTGGAGGCTGATGAGATCAATTTTCCACTTACAAAAAATAATCTCCAGAAGAAGCATTCAAAAATTGAAGTGTCTAGATCCAAACCAGGTGTAAGTGACATTGCACATGATTATGTTATAAAGCAAATATTCACAGCACCTATCTTCTCAGAGTTGGAAGTAGGAGAGAAAGAATCAAGTGAGACACCAGTAAATTTGCAGAATCAATTACCCACAGCTTGGGAGAGTTTATCTTCAAATATTCTACTTCATTATGAAGAAAACGATGATGAAATAGAATTGCCACAAGCCAAATCTGTCATAAGCCAGATAATACAAGCATTTCCTGTAGATACTCTTTTAGAATCTGGGATAATCAAAGTGATAGAGTTAGATAAAGAATATCAGAAGGGTTCTGTGCAGGATACAGAGACAGTCTTTGCTGAAGAAGAGCCGAAGTATTCCACAGAGGATTATTCAGAAACCCAAAGAGGAACAGAATCTCTTTCAGAGAAGAATACACTCCTCATTCCCAAAGAAACCACTTCTTTTAATAGCAATGAATATATGGATGAAGGTCAAAATATATCCCTACAAGATTCAAAATATCAGTCAACACCAGATAAAAAAACAGATACGCTAAATAATAGTCAGAGGTTGAATAGAGAAGAAAAGGATCTAAATTCTGCTTTAGAAAATTTAAGTAACTCATTAATGGGTAAACTTAATGACACAGATGCAATAATGTTAAAATCCTTTTTAAAACATATGTTTAATATTTTTTTCAAATATAATCAGTCTGAAAGAAGACAACCAGGGAAAGAATTAGGAAGACTAATTCAGCATCCTTTTCCAAATAACACAGAAGACCTGGAAGAAATTAGAGAGAATTTTGATAAAACAGATAAATTAGGCAGAAAACCTATGTTGAGTCCAAAGCTGTGTGTATTTCTAGAAGAACTCTCGGAGTCAGAAATTAAAAATTTAAAATCTGAACTAAGTAAACATATCCAGCATTACCTTGTAGAAAGACTTTCAGAATCTGGACACATCACCAAAGAAGACTTACCAAAAATCTACCAAAATCTGTATTTGATGAATGAGAAAGTGGAACCAAAAGGGCAAAATATTTTTCTGGAAAAATATTCAGAAACTGTAAAAGAAATCATGTCTTTTGTAAATAATTTTAATCATCATTTCATAGATAAACATTTGGAAATAAAGCTAAGATCTTTCTTAAATGAAATTCTCCAAAACTATTTCCTAAAAAACCTTTCAGAAAGCAGTTTATTTAGAGAGACAGAATCTGAGACTATCAACTCAAACATGTCTTCTCTAAGAACTAAAAGTGCCTCCATATCATTTCATGAGTTAGGACAAGATATTTCAAGGGGGAGTTTTGGGAAGAGACTTGACTTAAACATGAAATACCCCTTAAATAAATCTCTACAAAACTATCTTACAGGTTTATCAGAAAATGAACTATTAAATCTAAAAGCTGATTTAAGCAAACACTTCCAGAGCCTTTTTATAGAAAGACTTTCAAAATCAGGACTAATCACAGAAAGGCAATTAGAGGGGCTCAACCAGCATATAAATTTGATCAATTCTAGTTCCATACCATTAAAATGTATAAAGCCAGGTTTATCTTCTAGAAATGAAAACCAATTTATGGAGGAGAATTCAGAAAAGCAAAATAAATATTCAAAAATTGTTCAAAAAACTACTCTACAAAAAGATCCTGAGGGGAGACTTGTAGAAACAGAACTAACCAAAGAGAAAGAAAAGGAATATTTTTCCTTACAGAATATTAAGGAAAATCCATCAATAATTGGGGAACAGAAAAGACACTATCCTAAAGAAGGAGCCAAACCCCTGAGATTAATTAAGGTACAGCCTTCTTTCATCAGAAATACCCAAGCGATTCCATTAAATAAGTCATCAGAAAGACTTACAGATATAGTGCTTAAGAAACAAAGGAAAGAACATGGTTTCATGCAGCTTCCTCGAGCAGAAAATTATTATTTTAAAACAGAAATTCAAGACTCACATGGTTGGAGTGGTAAATCAAAAGCAACTCAGTCAAATATTTGCCTTGAAAGGACACTAAAAATGAAGTCCCTTGAAAAAAGGGAGCATAATCTCTATAAACTGATGGCACAGGAAAAACCGGAAGCAGTACTGTCTCCGTATCCAAGAATTCCTAATTACGAAATGTCAAGTGAAAATGAAGAATATATTTACAATTTTCCTTCCAGGCAGAATAACATTTTAAGTTATTTCAGTTTAGAGGTTGGGGAGAAATCAAAGCTAGAAGACCAGTATATTCAGAGGTTGAAAGGAAATAATAATAATAATAAAAAACATCTAGTAACATTGGCACAATACAAAAAAATACATACTCTTTCTGTACGGACAAATGGAATTTGTAATGAAAAGCATGCCAAGTTCCCTGAATCACAGTCGTTTAAATACAAAGGTGTGGAAGCTGAGAAAAACTCAAAACCATCCCTCTTCCCAGAAGTATTAAAGGGAGAAAATCTAAAGCCCAAGGTCCGAAAGGAAAGAGACCGTGGCAACAAACAGAAGTCCTTCAGCAAGATGGCTAAGATACTACCAGCCTCACTGCCCTCCACGAGAATTCTAAGGAAATCTGTTCCAAGGACATTGCTTCACTGGACCGCGAGAACAACTATACATGTAATACTGTCTTTCTAAATCTTCTCCTTTTGCATTTGGCAAAGTTTGTCAGTCATCTACTTTAGGGTGTGTATGTCTGTACGCAAGTATGTGTGTAACCTTTGTTGTCCCCAGATACACAGACTGTCAAACTTACAAGAATTCTTTTGACATTCAAATTCACCTCACCCAGATGGAAATGAAGGCACAAAAGCAAGGGACTGCCTTTGAATGAAACAGATGAAGGGCACTCCTTCTGGAGCATGAGTCAGAAAAAGCCTCCCTTTCCTCCGGCAGACTCCGTAGAGGGCCACAGCCTAGAGCCGGAGCCCTGAGCCCTGTATACGGAGAACTGGCTGAGTCCCCGCTCTGACTCAGCCCTAAGCCCGGGGACTGCGGGGCCAGCACAACCTATACAGCTCTTGGCAGGGGCTCTGTCCCATGGAAACATAGCTGGGATTTTGTTTTCGTGCAGATATAAGTATCAATAGTATTCTTCAGATTGCTAAATTATCTTCGTTTCAGTAAACAAAGATATTATGTGCCGGTTATCCTGATAAGTATTATGGATATGCGAAATTTATAATCTATTGGATTATGAAAGGAAAAAAATTTTTTTTCAAAGATTTTATTTATTTATTTGACAGAGATCACAAATAGGCAGAGAGGCAGGCAGAGAGAGAGGAAGGGAAGCAGGCTCCCTGCCAAGCAGAGAGCCTGACGCAGGGCTCGATCGCAGGACCCTGGAATCATGACCTGAGCTAAAGGCAGAGGCTTTAACCCACTGAGCCACCCAGGCGCCCCATGAATGGAAAAATTTTAATTTAACTTCTCAACTCTCTTCTATTCCCGTTGCCCCTCTGCTCTATCATGGGCTGAGGAACTTGGGAATTTAAACCTATTAACAGAAAACAATTAGGAAGGTAAACCTGCTATCAGACATTATACAAACCATTCTGAGGTTAAAAACCGGGAATGGAAGGGACTTATTTTACTTTTCTGTACTGCTGCTCTTCTCTGTTTGTGTATATAAATAGGCATGCCCCTCACCTGGGAGAACTCATAAATCCCAAAATGATATTACATTGATAATTTGATGTGCATAATCCTTTGAATGAGAAAAATAGTTCCAATTTAGAACAGTTGCTTTGAATTTGCTTTCTGTAGTAAAGCAAATATTTAGCTTTAGTAAATAGTAAAATTGGTAGCTGGAAAAATATCAATTTAGCTTATGCTTTCAACTTTGGATTTCTCTTTTCTATTTAAATTTGGTAATTTAGTATTGAGTGATATGTGTGTGTGTTGTACACATAAATGTGTGTATCCGCTAGGAAAAAGAGGTAGAAGATGGGTTCATAGTTCTGGGAACCGACTTTCTAAAGTCCCTTTAGACAAATTGAATCTTTAATGTCAGTTTTCCAAACAAAACAATAAATTGTGTTTATATTGTATAACATGAGATCATATAGAATCTCAGAAACTTTATCTGTCCTAAGAGTAGGCAGGAAAGATAGAGTTATCCTTATTTTCCTCTGTTAAAAGAACAGTCCCTAAACTTTTCTCCCCAGTGAAGTTGACAAAAGAGAATTGAATGGTAGGAGGGCATTTTTCAGATCCTCAGAAAGACTGGCTCATCTGATTCTTTTCTAAAATCCAGGAATCTCCCAAAGGAATCAAAGTAGAACACAGAGAAACTGAACTGTGGGAGCATCCAGAAAAGTAACCAGTTGTGGGGTCTCCATGCCTCTATTGGTACTCTAGTAATCAGTTATTTCATCTGTGAAGCAAGAATTATGTATTACTCACCAAAGTAGCAGAAGTTCCCTTAATAATGTGGCTTACCTAATTGTTCCATGTACCTAAAAAGGGAGAGGGAGAATGTTTCCTTGCATTTTTGCAACCCAGGCAAAAATGTAAAGTAGGTACAACTTATCTCTAGACTCTTTATACCTTCATTTTTATAAATCTTTTTTTTAAGATTTTATTTATTTGTTTGACAGAAATCACAAGTAGGCAGAGAGAAAGAGGGAGAGGCAGGCTTCTCTCTGTGCAGAGAGCCCAATGTGGGGCTCGATCCCAGGACCCTGGGACAATGACCTGAGCCGAAGGCAGAGGCTTTAACCCACCGAGCCACCCAGGCACCCCTATTTTTGTAAATCTTTCTTGCTGCCCTAATTCTCAGCCCTGTACAACCTCCCCCCACCCTCCAATTATATTAATTCATTCCCACCTTCTCTGTAAATCAGAGTAGCTTTTTCATTTGGTGTGGTCATCTCTGCAAAGTGTTAAGGTACAAGATGCTCATACTGCAGAATAAACTAGTTTAAACTAGTTTAAGAATGACTAATAACTCCATACCCTCATTAGGGTAATTGTAGGTTATTATAGATTTATTCTAAAACAGAGCCATATTATATAAATTTGAAAAAAGAAAAGGAAAACAAAGCCCATAATCCCACCACCCTAACCCAACCATCTTCTTTAAAAATTTACTTTGTGTACATCCTTCCAGTTATTTTCCTAAATGTTTTACTTCTTTACTCTCAGATTGTACATAACAATTTTTATTACTTTAATATGAACAGTATAACTCTATCCTTAGATGCCAGGCTCTCTATGAGTATGTGAAAGTGTATTAAAGAAGATGTTTATTAACTTTAAAAGAATGAAACTTTGGATGATATGAAGTATGATTCATGATTTATATTTAGGGTTGCAGAAAATATAACTTGGAGAATTCTAGAATAGGCAGACTGCCTTTAGGTGTCTGACTCTTAAGGACCCCTCTCCTAAGATTTTCTGGTTTCCAGCTTCATATTTTCTATCCCTTGTAAAATAACAGATCCATTGAAATAATACGACTTTTTTTTTTTTTAAAGCATGATTTCTTTGATAGTATCTAATAGGGAGCATTGGGTGTTGGATCTGAATTTGGGGACTGCCTATAAAATATTTAATGCTCTCATTCTTTGTCTTTATTGATATTCTACACTTGAGTTCTTGTAAATTTAAAATGTACTTTTAAGAAAACTAACTCACCAACCTGATCTTTTATTTTACTATTTAGGATTGTTCGGATAGATTTGAGGATATACCCGTGACCTCATTTAAGCATGTTGAGCAAGCAAAATCAAGAACAAGGCTTTTAGGAAAAAGCCCGGATAATAACCACAATCAGTTAAAACACTTTGCAAGACCAAATACTGCTCCAGAGGTTCACAAACGGCGAGAGAGCTACAACGGAAAATTAACAAGTCCTCGAATGATTTCAGCAGGCTTAGTTCACATAAATGATGCAATCCCAGATTATGAAATCCAGAAAATGAGGCAAAAAAAGAAATTTAAAGAGAATATTGAAAAGTGTTCATTCATTTGTGATATTATACAAATGTTGAAAGTACAGAATAATATATAAGGCCAACAGTCAATTTCTCCAATGAACAAAATGGTTTGGAGATCTGTCCTTCTGTGTGATAGATGTCAACAACCAAATTTCACCTTGTTAGAACCATTTTGTTTTAATTAAAATGAAAACGAAGCACTTTTGATGTAAATGTGTTTTTGTTTATGAACTTTAGGGAACAGAGCAAGAGATATATATTCAGTTCATATCAAGTTTTATTTCCCAGCTTTTCCCCCTTTTCACTATATAGCAGTATCACTCCAGTTGATAGTTCTCTGATTTCCCAAATCTTTGTTATTCTCTAAATTATTCCTGTCCACCCAGTTCTCAGAGTCTTTATTTGCCATTATTTATGTTTAGCCATTTGTTATGAATATACTCTTATTCTTCAGTTCTAATTATACTATAAGACCCAACAGTATGTCATTTTCTGGGCTTAAAGAACATCTCTTAATTTTAGTTTCTGATGGTACAACTTTTACACTATAAATAAAGCTAATCAGATTTTATAGTAATTCCTGAGACGACTCCTATACTGAACAATTTGAACTTACTCAAAACACTATGAAAGGGCCTCTTTAATAGCACAAAACATAGGAAACTACATAAAATGGTAGAAACTACATAAAAATTATCAAAATCAACAGAGGATTTAAGTCAGAGACCTCCTGGGACACCTGGGTGTCTCATTCGGTTAAGTGACCCAACTCTCGATTTCGGCTCTGATCGTAAGGTGAGGACTGTGAGATTAAGCCCTGCATTGGGATCTGCGCTGGGAGAATCTGTCTCCCTCGGCTGCTCCTGCCCACCCCACTATCCCTATCTTTAAAAAAAAAAAAAAAATCAGAGACTTAATTGGTTCTACTCTTTTTTTTAAAATTCAACTGTAATTAACATAGTGTTATATTAGTTTCAGGTGTATAATGTAGTGACTCAACAATTGTATGCGTTACTCAGTGCCCATCAAGGTAAGTGTACTCTTAATCCCCTTCACCTATTTCACCCATCCCCTGACCCACCTCCCCTCTGGTAACATTTGTTCTCTATATTTATGAGTCTGTTATTTTTTTTGTGTCTCTTTTGTTGTTTATCTCTTTTGTTTCTTAAATTCTACATGAGTAAAATCATACGTCATTTGTCATTCTCTGACTGACTTCTTTCCCTTAGCATTATACCCTCTAGATCCATTCATGTTGTTGCAAATGGCAAGATTTCACTCTTTTTTATGGCTGAATAATATTCCTCTGTGTGCATATGTGTGTATCTTCTCTATCCACTCATCTATTGATGCACACTTGAGTTACTGTCATATCTTGACTATTGTAAATGATGCTGCAATAAACATAAGGATGCATATATATTTTCAAATTAGTGTTTTTGTATTCTTTGGGTAAATATCCAATAATAGAATTACTGGATCACATGATAATATTTTCAATTTTTGAAAAACCTCCAAACTGTTTTCCACAGTGGCTGCACTGGTTTGCATTCCCCACACGAAGGTTCCTTTTTCTCTACATCCTCACTAACACTTGTTATTTCTTGTGTTTTTTATTTTAGTCATTCTGACAGGTGTAAGGTGATTTCTCATTGTGATTTTGATTTGTACTTCCCTAATGATGGGTGATGTTGAGCATCTTTTCATGTGTCTATCTTCTTTGGAGAAATGTCTATTCATCTCCTCTGTCCATTTTTAAATTGGATTATTTATTTCTTTTGGGGATGAGTTTTATAAATTCTTTATATATATTTTGGATATTGTTTTATTACATATATCGTTTGTAAATACCTTCTCGCATTCAGCTGGTTTTTGTTTTGCTGACAGTTTCCTTTGCTATGCAAAAACTTGTTATTTTGGTATAGTCCCAATATTTTAATTTTGTTTATTTCCCTAGCCATTGGAAACATACTAGAAAAATATTTCTACAGCTGGTGTCAAAGAAATTACTACCTATGTTTTCTTCCAGGAATTTGGTTTCTTACAGGTCTTACAGTTAGATACTTAATCCATTTTGGGTTTTTTGGTACTATGTAAGAAAATAGTCCAGTTTCACTCTTTTGCATGTAGCTTTCCAGTTTTCCCAACCCCATTTATTGAGGAAACTTATTTTCTCATTGGATATTCTTGCCTCCTTTGTTGTAGATTAATTGACCTTAAAAGTATGGGTTTATTTCTGGGCCCTCTATTCTGTTCCATTGATCCTTTTTTTTTTTTTTTTCCATTCAAAATTTTATTTAAATTCAAGTTCGTTCACATATAGTGTAGTATTTCAGGAATAGAATTTAGTGATTCATCAGTTGCATCTAATACCCAGTGCTCATTACACCAACTGTCCTCCTTAATGCCCTTCAAACCAATTTCCCCTTTCTCCCACCCCTATATTTAAGAGTCTCTTATGGTTTGCCTCCTTCTCTGTTTTTAATCTTTTTTTTTTTATCATTTTTTTAATTTATTTTCAGCATAACAGTATTCATTGTTTTTGTACCACACCCAGTGCTCCATGCAATCCATGCCCTCTCTAATACCCACCACCTGGTTCCCCCAACCTCCCGCCACCCCCACCTCATCAAAACCTTCAGATTGTTTTTCAGAGTCCATGGTCTTATTTTTTCTTCCCTTCCCCTGTGCTCATCAGTTTTGTTTCTTAAATTCCACATATGAGTGAAATCATATGGTATTTGTTCGCTGACTCATTTCACTTAGCATAATATACTCTAGTTCTTTCCACATCATTGCAAATGGCAAGATTTCATTCTTTTTGATGACTGAGTAATATTCCATCACATGTGTGTACACACACACACACACACACACACCCCACTTCTTTATCCATTCATCAGTTGATAGACCTTTGTTCTCCTTCCATGTTTTGGCTGCTCCACTGATTTATGTGTCTGTTTTTGTGCCAGCACCATACCATTTTGATTAGTACAGTTTTGTAGTACACCTTGAAACCTGGGATTGTGATTCTTCCAGGTTTGTTTTTATTTTTCAAGATTGGTTAGCTATTCAAGGTCTTCTGTGGTTCCATATAAATTTTTGGATTATTTGTTCTAGTTTTGTGAAAAATGCTGTTGGTATTTTGTAGGGATTGCCTTAAGTTTGTAGATTGCATTGGGTAGTATGAACATTTTAACAATATTGGTTCTTCCAGTCCATGAGCAAGGAATATCTTTCCATTTATTTGTGTCATTTTCAGTTTCTTTCATTGATGTTTTACAGTTTTCAGAGTAGAGACCTTTCACCTCTTGGGTTAAGTATATTTCTACATGTATTTGGTTCTTTTGGGTACAATTGTAAGTGGAATTGTTTTCTTAGTTTCTCTTTCTGCTACTTCTTTATTAGTGCATGGAAATGCAACTGATTTCTGATATGAATTTTTATCCTGTGACCTTACTCAATTCATTTGTCAGTTCTAGTAGTTTTTTGGTGGATTCTTCAGGGTTTTCTTTTTTTCTCTTATTTATTTTTTAATAATTTAAAAAAAAATTATAAACATATAATGTATTATTAGCCCCAGGGTTACAGGTCTAGGAATCACCAGATTTACACACTTCACAGCACTTACCATAGCACATATAGGGTTTTCTACATATAATACCATGTCATCTGAAAATAGTGAAAGTTTGACTTCTTTACCAATTTGGGTGTCTTTTATTTCTTTGTTGTCTGATTGCTATGGCTAGGATTTCCAGTACCATGTTGAATAAAAGTAGTGAGGATGGACATCCTTGTTTAGTTCCTGACATTAGAGGGAAAACTTAGAATTGAGTGTGATAGCTGTGGGTTTTTCATATATGGCCTTTATTATGTTGAAATATGTTTCTCTGAGATTAATTTGTTGACAATTTTTATCATGAATGGGTATTGTACTTTGTCAAATGCTTTTTCTGCATGTATTGAAGTGATCATATGGTTTTTATCCTTTTTCTTGTTAATGTGATGTGTTGATTTGCAAATATTGAAACACCCTTGCATCCCAGGAATAAATCCCACTTGATTGTGGCGAATGATTTTTTAAAGTGTATTGTTGGATTCCATTTGTTAATATTTTATTGAGAATTTTTGGGTCTATGTTCATCGGAGAAATTGGGTTTGGGGTTTTTTTTCATACTATCTTTATCTGGTTTTGATATCAGGGTAATTCTGACCTCATAGAACAAATTTGGAAGCTTTCCTTGCTCTCTCTCTTTTTTTTTTTTTTTTTAATAGTTAGAGAAGAATAGGTATTAACTCTTCTTTAAATGTTTGGTAGACTTCCCCTGTGAAGCCATCTGGTCCTGGTCTTCTGTTTCTTGAGAGTTTTTTGATTAATGATTCAATTTCTTTGCTAGTAACTGCAGTGTTCAAATTTTCTTTTTTTTCCCAATATAGTTTTGGAAATTTTTATGGTTCTAGGACTTTATTTATTTCTTCTAGGTTGTCTAATTTGTTGGCATATAATTTTTCATAATATTTTCTTATAATCCTTTGTATTTCTGTGTGGTTGGTTGTTATTTCTCCTCTATCATTTCTGATTTTGAGTTGTCTCTTTTTTTCTTTTGATGAGTCTGGCTAACAGTCATCAATTTTGTTGATTTTACAAAGAACCAGCACCTGGCTTCCTTGTTCTGTTGTATTTTTTTTTAAGTTTTGACTTCATTTGCTTTTCTTCTAGTCTTCATGATTTCCTTCCTTCCAGCAGCTTTGGGTTTTATTTGTTCTTGTTTTTCTAGGTATAAGCTTAGGTACTTTGAAACTTTTCTTACTTGTTCAGGTAGGCCTATATTCTATAATATTCCCTCTTAGAATAGCTTTTGGTGCATCCCAAAGATTTTTGAACCGTTGTGTTTTCATTTACATTTGTCTCCACGTATATTTTCATTTCTTCTTTGATTTCTTTGTTGACTCATTCATTGTTTAGTAGCATGTTAATTAATCTCCATGTATATGTTTTCTTTTTTTTTTTAAGATTTTATTTATTTGACAGATCACAAGTAGGCAGAGAGGTGGGGGGTGGTGGGTAAGCAGGCTCCCTGCTGAGCAGAGAGCCTGATGTGGGGCTCTATCCTAGTACCCTGGGATCATGACCTGAGCTGAGGGCAGAGGCTTTAACCCACTGAGCCACCCAGGCACCCCCATATATATGTTTT